TTATTTGCACTACAAGTGGCGCTCACTGCTCTTTGGTTATCATGGAATGTCTACCCGAAAGTGATTGTTGGTCACTCGGTTGGTGAAATAGCCGCGGCTTATATCAATGGTCATTTCACACTGAAAGAAGCATGTGAAATAGTCTATCATCGTTCACGTTTGCAACATCGAAATACAAGACAACATGGACGAATGTTGGCTGTTTCCATGAATGCACAAGAGGCAAATGTATTGTTGGAAGGGATAGAAGATCGTGTTTCTATTGCTGCTATCAATAGTCCACAATCTGTTACAATGAGTGGTGATAGTAAAACACTGGAAGAGTTAGATGAAATATTAACGGTGCTAAAACCCAAAATATTTAAATCATGGTTAAAAATCGAAAACGCATTTCATAGTCAACAAATGGAGCGTTTTAATATTCAACAAGATCTGCTCGAGTCTCTTAAACATATTCGAGGCGATGGTAATTTTAAAAATGAACAGAAATTCGATTCAAAATGTCTACAAGCTAAGTTATATTCAAGTGTTACTGGTCTAGAATGTGATAGTTCAACTCTATTTAATGGTGCTTATTGGTGGACGAACATAAGACAAACAGTTCAGTTTCATAGAGTTATGAGTTCAATAATTTCAAATGATACTGCTCATTCACCACCTCATGTCTATTTGAAACTATCACCACATCCTGTTCTGGCTACGTCTATTCAGGAATGCTTAGGTCAATTATCACCACCGTCGTCATCATCTCCTCCTCTAATTTTACATTTTGCAAAACGAAAAGACAACGAACAACAAACAATATTGACAAATCTATGTCATTTAAACATAAATTTAAAACAATTTTGGTTATCACGTTATTATTCAAAACGATTGTCCTCCTATTCAATGTTAAATAATAATGAACTTGATACTGTACCATTGTACACATTTAATAACAGTGAATATTATTGGCATGAATCGTCTGAATCTATAATTGAAAGACGGGCTAAAAGACAAGAATGTCACCCACTATTAGGTCAGCGTTTATGGTCAAACCAACAATTACCAACATGGAAATCAATAATTAATTTACAAACAGCAAAACATGCTTATCTTATAGATCATCAAGTACAG